ACGATCTCAGAAGGGAAGTGCGGCTAACATCACCACCCAGCAGCAGCAGGAATACGACTTTACTATCAGACATCGCGGCGGGAAATCTCATGGCAACGCAGATGCATTGTCAAGAAAACTTTGTCCTGAAGATTGTAAACATTGTACTGGGCAAGAGAGTAAGGAAGTAGTATCCGTGAGGATGCTCAGGATAGAGCACCTCAGCAACGAGTGGAAGGACAGCCTACGACATGCACAGCAGGAAGATCCGGACATCAAGCCGATTCTGGAATGGATGAAGGCCCGTGCTACCAAGCCTAAGTGGAGCGACGTCTCAGCGATGAGTTCGACTACTAGAAGCTATTGGGCCCAATGGGACAGCTTGCTGATTCAGGATGGAGTTCTGTGTCGTAAATGGGATAATGGTCGAGGAGACAGTTGTCGTTTGCAAATGGTTGTTCAGGAGTCCATCTAGGAGTTAAACGAACTCTACTGAAAATCCGAGAACAGTTTTACTGGGTCCATTATCGTGACGATGTCGAGGATTGGTGTCGCACATGTACAAGTTGTGCGGCTGTGAGGGGACCTCAGACACGTAGTAGAGGAGCATCGAAATTGTACAATGTTGGTACACCATAAAGGCGCAAGAGGGACTCCTAAGACCGTCCATGTGGATCGCCTGGCGCGTTATTATGGGGCCGATAATCTTCGGGACGAGCATGTCTTAGGAGGGGGCAATTTTGCGTGGCTAAGTTGACGTCATGTACCCGGCACTAGCGCCATCTAGTGTCGGGGACCAGAGCAAGGAGGACTTTCCAGAAAATGACATGACTAATCTTTTAACCAACAGTGCCATCTAGTATCGAATTGAAGAACTAAGCTTTCTAGAAGCCTCACACTCGAACTTTCTGCGTCTGGTCGGTCGGCGTCCGTATCTACGGGAATATTCTGGATGTTTCGGCGTAAAAGTGTGTTTAAACCCGCTGCATGCCCGGTCAGTATTGAATTTGGCGAGACAAGCGAAGCTTCGAAGCGAAATAAAGTGAATCAGTGTGATTAATTATTAGTGTTTTGAGTTTTAATCGGTGTAAAGAAAATTAAAGTGTAAATTTTGATAATTCAATCGGCAGTTTTTATTGTCACGAACCTCAAGCTCGTAACAATAGGTTTGCGTGGTGTTCAAAGAAGGTTAAGGTTACGCTCTTTCGAGCGTTTAGTACATTGATCTACACGTGCAGCTTATGGGCTAATTACAGTAGATAGAGGTAGAGATCATCCATATAGAAAAGGTGAGTCACTTTTGTCTCTCCCTTCCGAAGCTGAAATCTCCTCCCGGAGCCCTCCAGTAAAGTACTGAGAGGGTTCAGAGAAAGTCAGAACCAGATTGGACTCAGGCAATCGTCCTGTAAGATACCCCTTCTTATTCTTATGTGCTTCTCCGCAGCCATCATCCTCCTCGCCCAGATAACAAGGGATCGTACTCCACTGCCCCATACATTGCTCGAAGAAGTCTAACTGTACAGTCAACCTTGTACAGATCGCGGCCATGTACGGGGCACCGAGTCGAATGTCTTTTTTTTTATAGAAGAAGGGGCAAACGAGCCTACGGTTCACCTGATGTTAAGTGATTACCACCACCCATGAACATCCGCAACACCAGAGGAATTGCAGGTGTGTTGCCCGCCCTTTAGAAAGGAGTAAGCTCTTTTCTTGAAGGTCGTATCGGTCCGGAAAAATCGCCGCGTAGTGCGTTCATGAAATTTGGCGGATGTGATTAATCCGGACAATTCCTCAGAGCACTCCCCGTGGTAGATACGATAAAATACGCAAAGAGATGCAAAATCTCTCCGCAGCGCCAGTGAATTGAGCCGATCGGAAAGCACTCGGTCGTAGACGATTCGAGCCACTCTGCGCTGTATGCGGTTTTTTTTTTATAGGATAGGGTGACAAACGAGCACACAGTCCACCTGATGGTAAGTGGTTGCTGCGGCCCATAGACATCTACATCTATCTTCCATTACAAATCAAAATGCAGATGCGTTGTCACCCGTGAGGACTGAGATGGAATGCCTCATTTCCAGTAAAAAGGGTCTCCGGTTCTCTACACTCACCATACGAAATACAGCAGCATTAAGCTACTATTTCACGCTGGTATTCTGAGAGAGCTGGTATCTGTGGTCCTTCCCCGGTCGAGCCGACCCATTCGTGCTACAACTATACTACTAATATAATTGCAGTATGGCTCTACCACGTAAAGTGGAAGGAGCTGACACTGGGGAGCCCCAGCTCAGAGATAGGAACAGTATTCCATGTGCGGCCGAACCTGCGCCTTGTAAAGTTCCAGGCGGTGTGCCGGCATGAAATACTGTCCCGTTCTGCTGAGCACGCCTAGCATTTTAGAGGCCAATTTGGCCTTCTCTTCTAAGCGACCACGAAACTGCCCGTCATTCGATTGTTGCCAAGGATTCCGATACTGGCTGAGTCAACAAGGGGAGTGCCTTGAAACTGAGGAGATACGACAAATGTGTTCTTTTTAGCGGTTAACGCGCAAACTTGTGTCTTCTGAGGGTTAAACTGGACTAGATTTAGTCGCCCCCCAGTTCGAGACTTTGTTCAGCAAAGACTCGACTTCAGACACAAGTTTGTCCTGGTACTCGAAGATGTTTTCCCGAGAAATATTGGCACGGCCGGTGTACAGAGCATCACCAGTGCTGTCATCTGCATAGCAATGAATGTTGCCGGTTTGCAACATATTGATTGTTGTTGGTGTTGATTAGATCAGATGTGAATAACATTTTTTAACAAGATTGAATTTATTAGGTTACCTACTATGGAAACTAAAATCCGTATAATAATGATCAAAACATTTCACTGTCATAAATGTCATGCCTATATGTACATCTATATGTCCCCAAAATAATGACCGGGTTGTTTGTTGTATTGTATAGTACAGTGTATTTATTACTGTATATAAAATTACGTTGAGCGTGTGTTCTTAATTCTTCTGCTCCTAAACGGCTTGGTCGATTTTGATCAAATTTCATGGGCTACTAGGGTCACCTGGATGGTTCTTAGCTATAGTTGGACCCGGTAGGTGGAGCTGTTGTCGAGATGTAGAATTCACCCGTGCGAAGCCGAAGCGGATCGCTAGTACTCTATATTTTTGTTGCAGAACGTGTCAAGTGCTGCTGGCAAGCACAACCTCGGTCTGGACTTGCGGATGGCAGCCTACATCACTGCTATCGAGAAGATCTTCGTCACATATGACGAACACGGGTTGGCTCTGTGATTTCACTCAAGATGAATGATATGATATGTGCTAATGTGTAGGTACTTACACGGATATTTTATATTAATTTTATATGCATTGTAAATCGGTTTAATAAACGTATCATATGTTACAATCCTTGTTGGCAATTTTAATTGTATGAAAGTCAACAAACTACTTAAATCTTGATAACTTCCGTATTACCATGGTATAGTTTGACATAGAACAGGTAAAACTACTGAACCCAAATATAGATAACAGATAGGTACATAGTAATAGAATTATTATAAAAAAAAAACGTATGTATACTCAGACATTATAAAGAAAGAGTATTTTATGTTCTACTTTATCAGCCCGTGAGTCTACCGCTAGACTTAAGCCTTTCTTGTTGCCTGGATTTGCCTTAATCATTATACTTGGCAGTACGGAATTTTTATCTACATAGAGTAGGTGTAATTTTTTTTCTTAAAAAAAATTACCTCCTCATTAGATTTCTTTCCTGTATCGTGAGGGCAAGGATAAACATCCAGGCCTGGAGCAATAATTTGTAGTCTATAAAAATACTTGTTCCGTGCGGGGTTCAAAGCCTTAGCACTGCAACTCAATGCTAAAGCCACTGCGCCACGGACCCGTTAAAACTATTACTAATTAAGCTGTAAATTATTACTACATATTGTTTACATTAATAAAATAATTAGTAATTAATTAATTGACCTAAGTACAATGTATTTTATTTTCTTATCTAATATTTACAAAATTAAAAATTCTTACGGCACGTTGATGGGGTAGTCAGATGGTTAACACTCGCTGTAAATATAACAGAACGCGAGTAACCCGGGTTCGATCGGCACCAATGAAATTGTTAATTGCAATTTTAATTTACCACGTGCTCGGCGGTGAAGGAAAACATCGTGAGGAAACCTGCATGTCTTTGGAATAAGGAAAAAATATTTCGAAGACATGTGAAGTTCGCCAACACGTATTGGGGCAGTGCGGCAGACACTATCTTGCCCTAAAACCCTCTCAGAAATGAGGGGAGGCCTGTGCCCAGCAGTGGGACGTATATAGGCTGTAACTTTACTTTTTACGTTTAGACTATCGGACGAGCAACTTGTCGAATAACTCGGTCAAGTTATTGTGGTCAAGGTATTGTAGAAATTTTAAACATAGATGACGTGCGTCTCGTTGCCACGACTTTGTCTACTTGATATTAATAAAGTCACAAATATTTGTTTGGGGGGTATGGAGCGCCCCACCACTAGATGGAACGACGACTTACACGATCATGCAGGAAGTCGATGAATGCAGGTGGCTCAGGACCGTGCTTTGTGGCATTACTTGGGGGAGGCCTATGTTCAGCAGTGGAGTTAAATTTATTTTTCATTAATATTTATTTTAAAGTGATTTCTAGGAGCCCATATAACAGGTTCACCTTGATAAAATTCTAAAAAAATAGTGGAATTGTTGCTGCAATCCATCACAGTAGGTAGGTGTTATTATTATAGTAAATTTCTGTATTCTGTATTATTTACTAACCCCTAGTTTTTAAGTTTTAAGTGTACTAACAAAATGGGTGTATTTACCTGAATAATGAAATTAATTATTATTATTATTATATATGGCGCAAATAAAACCGTACATGTAGTTTTCACGTTAATATAAAAAAAATCATTAGACTGAAAATTTTATTACATAACATATTTGTATGGAAAAAAAAAACAATTTTCATTATAAGTAACTTAATTAACATAAACTACGTCCTCGCATGCTCTCGGTTTTGCTTGAACCAGTCCACGGTGTCCTGGATGGCCTTCTCGAACGGCGTAAACTTGAAGTCCTTGTACAAAGACCTTAGTTTCTTATTCGACGCGGTTTTCTTGTATTGCCCGTCAGCCTTCGTGGTGTCGTAGACTATCTGACCTTGATACCCGTGGGCCTTCTTTATTGCTTCCGCCACTTCGCCGATCGTCACTTCCTCTTCTTCGTCCACTGCCACAAAAGACAACAATTAAAATCTGACAATGTTACTAGCATTTGGCACTAGTTAAGCTGAAGTGGAAATGGACCGGCCATATAGCTCAAAGAACCAAAACCTAAGGGGAAGCAAGATCCTCGAGTGGCAGCCTGGTAACGGTAGACAGTGTGGGGCGGGGCGGCTTCCCACTAGATAGTGACGACCTGGTAAGACATCCAGGATGTTGATGGATGCAGGTGGGTCAGGACCATGCTGTGTGGCATTCTTTGTGGGAGGCCTATATTCAGCTGTGAACTTGTAGGGCTGAAGAAATGCTTCGATAGTTTGGACACGTGGAAACAAGGATTAAGGTAAGAGAGACAAAGCAAATTTATGCTGCAGAAGTGGCAAAGTAATAATTAAGGGTCACCTTCACGGATATTTAAGACTGAAATAGCGAGGTTTTTTAGATGTGCTAAGTTAAGAATACCCTTATCCGACGAACATGTATGCGTATATTGTCGTAAAGCGACAATTAAAAAACTAAAGAATCTAACCTAACAACAACGAAACAACAAAAAGGTGGGGGTTAATTTAAATTGCAGTTCTGGCGCGGTGGGGGGGGGGGGGTGCCGCCAAGGAGATGCTTCTAGTTTGAAAGCTGAAGCGAGACTCCTTTATTGGCCGATTGTTCGGCTTTTATACTTTTTTAGAGAGCTCCGCGCTCGACGACGGATCTGGGATAAGAACGGGAAATTATTTAAATTAAAAGCAAATTTTTGTAAATGGCCAAGAGGAAGGAGTATTTTTGTGGAAGTATTGAAGTAAAAACATCAAACCGGTAACGAATTTGAATAAAAATTGCCATGACAACCAGATAAACAACGATGTCAAAACATGTCAAATTTTGGTTTCAGGCTCGTAATAGAGAAACGGCAAGATTTAAGTGAAAAATGAGATATTATTGATATGGAAAAAAAAGTAGCGCAACAGAGCGCACGAAGCCCGAAATTGCAGAGTTACGGAGAACTAAATAAAAGATCGAAAAGGGTAGACTCCATCGATACCGATTTAAAAAGTGCTGATAGCGTGAAAATACGAAGTGAAAATGATTTGTTATTGTGTTCTTATGGTTTAAAAACGTTACAGGATCCTATGGAAATAAAGGTGATGCAAAATATCCAGTTTTGAGGTGAATGCAGAAAATCAAAAACAGAATGGAAAAATAAATGTAAAATAGTGTAAAATGATATGTAAGTAGCATAGCACTACAATATATATACATATATATATATATATATATATATATATATATATATATATATATATATATATATATGGAAGTGAAAGAAGCGAAGGTATGCCAGGGTCTTGCCGAATTGAATTGTCTGAGATAAGGTTTCAATTAACATTTTAGGAAAAAGGGTCTCTTGCCCAAAATAATTTGAGAATCCCTGGTCTAGGATGTCGGTTTCCTGAACTTTGCCAGTCACGGGGGACGGGTCGCTGGTGTCCATAGTCTTCACCCAATACTAGGCCCACCCTATACGTATATTCGTGGTGATAAACTAGTGACAACCTTCCACAAACATCGCAAGCGGATCAATTTCTGCGGCGGTCAATAAGAGGGATATGTTCAGTTAATTGTCGTGGGCTGCAATGGTGGCGACCTTAACAAACCTGACAGAATGATGGGCTCCACGCTCGTGTAGTTTTTTAACACCCAGATAAAGAGGCGGGCGAGGTCCAACGAGTAAATGAACTGTCGCAATGGCTTCCCGCTGCCAAGGACTGTGAATGTTGGATCACCTGCCAAACGTAAGAACAGATTATTAGGTTTCCTTTATAGCATAAGTGTCTTACAGTACACAGTTCACCTGATGGCAAATAGATTCTGTGGCCATTGTGCTGCAAAAGCCTCGTTACCAGTAAAAGGAGTCTGCGGTTCTCTACACTCACCATATAAAATACAGTAGCATTCTGTGAGAGCGAGGTCCTTCCCTGGTCGCGCAGACCCATTCGTAACTTATTTATTTATTCGGTCTAGCAGGGATTTAAAATTACATACATTACATGCACATGGTATGTAAAATCATAACATAGCTATAGCAAGGCTCTGCCACGTAAAAGAAGCATGTGTGCCCCGTAGCCAAGAGCTCTATGAGCTCCATCACATTTTAAAAGTGTAAGTAATGAGTACACACTAGAAATCTTACGCTTCTCGATTGATGGCGGTGTATCTCTATTATGCAGACGGAAGACACTGAGATCAACGACAGCATTAGTGTCAAAGGCGTGAATCGTGTGGTACTGCGAACATAATCTTCCATGCGTGACGATGAAGACAAATCCTCTACATAAGGGATGGGATAGGCCACATCTTTCGCAGTGGATTTGGGCTTCTTCCGTTGTAGCAGATACCCATATGGCAGAGTTAGTCCTGACTTGCCAGAACTTTTGGGCTCTTGTCAGGATTGTGGTCAGATTATGGAAATGTCAGGCTTTTTACGATTTTTCAATTAAATACAGTAGGTTTTTGCACGAGAGAAGTGAAACTTGCGACGTAGATTGACAGTGCACAAAACCAATCATTATTTAGTTTTTATACGCTTGTTAATTACGTTTGCAACAAAATTTCAGGATTTTTCTATGGAAATCAGGTTATTTTTCAGGACTTTTAAATTTTCCATCTGGTAACCCTAGGTGAATGAGAAGAATGATACATCGAGCGCTAGCCTCAAATCCGTATTGTAGTCCCAATTTTAAGTACTGATTTGTCGCAAGCTTGGCCATGAAGAAACCAGAGCTCTGTTTAAAAAAATAATTGACCGTATCAATCCGGTAAACACTACAAATAATGTTAGGCGACTGTTTAAGCAAGCAGTTTAAAAAGACCCGCATGAAGTAGTGAACTTTTAAGGTCTGTATTCGGGTTTCTCTGTGTAAGGGAAATGTAAATAAGTTACTGGTACCGTTGGACGTGCCGTGGTAGCTCAGATGGTTAACGCTCGCGGTAAATATAACAGAAAGCGAGTAACCCGGGCTCGATCCCCGCCGGCACCAATTAAATTGTTAATTGCAATTTTAAGTGCTAATTTACCACGTGCTCGGCAGTGAAGGAAAACATCGTGAGGAAACCTGCAGGTCTGAGGAATAAGAGAAAAAAATATTCGAAGACATGTGAAGTTCGCCAACATGCATTGGGGCAGCGCGGCGGACACTTCCTTGCCCTCAAACAGTCTCAGAAATGAGGGGAGGCCTGTGCCCAGCAGTGGGACATATATAGGCTGTAACTTTACTTTACTTTACCTTTGGACGACCAGACGCTTGGCTGGTCTCCACCCCTTTGTTGTTTTACATTCCACGCATTCGAGCTCAACAGTTTGATCGTCGTTCGTAATGAGTACACTAAGGCAGTAAATTAGTTTACCGGCATCTGACTACATATTCGATTACAGTGTGGGCGTTTTAAAGAAAGAGTAAAATAGGCTTTTGTTAAACTATGTCAATACGCCTAACTATCTTCAGCTACAACACCACTTATCATAAAGTTTGAGGAATAGTGGTCGAGCGCTGACTTAAAATAATAATTTTAAAAAATTACCAGCACGTGTACCCGCTAATAGTGAGCTTAATGGTAGGGTGTAACGACAAATTAAATGTTACAAAGTAAATTAAATAACAGTCAAATAGGGTGGTCAATATTTTAAAAATAAAATAGCGTTTTAATAGCTGCTATTACGTACCTAATAGTTACCAATAACTGATTAAAGTTTGATTGCTTCGATGGTGTAGTAAACGTAAGCACAATTGCTAATCATGTGGTCCCAGGTGAATCCCGGATCAGACTAAAATAAGTTGTTGGGTTGAAGAAGAGTCAGAAAGTTGACGGTGTTTCACTACCGTGCCTCGCAAAGCACGTAAAGTCGTTCATCTTGCGTTTGATATCTCTGGTCTTGTTGGATTGCCATCATATCGGATTATGAATAAGGCAAAGAGTGCTACTGTGCGCATACAGTGTAGTACTATAATCCTTTCCGTTGAAGACCGCAATGACTAAAATTCGGTCTGAAGGACGTTGTTATTGATCATCATCTTGGATAATACCAGTTATAATACCAAGTCATAGCCATGAAATTTATTAGTATTGACATCAGTTCCGACTGTCATCGTTCAGCTGCGTGTGATACAGACCGTTCCGCATCGCGTCGTCCATGCGTCGCACGAGCGCGGGTATGACGTGGCTGGCGGCGAGCGTGAAGTTGTCGTGCGGACCGAACACGTTGCACGGCACCACCGACGTGAACATGCAGCCGTGTTGTTCGTGGTACCCTCTATACATCACACAACGTTCATGCCTTATTCATAAAATTAACGTCAATGATTTCTTATATTTACGCGAACACTATACATGATTAAAACTACTTTTACGGATTTTATCGCGTTTATTTTTACTTTTTATTTACTTTTATTTTTAATTCCCGACGTTTCGGGCGCTTTCCAGCACCCATGGTCACGGGGGACTGAGATGACTGACGTCCCGATGTCATTGTTAAACCCGGAGTACCTTCAGCTTTTTTAATTATTGTTTATGGTCCGATCTATGCAAAATGAACTGACTATGTCCTGAGGTCTTGCAGTGGTATGCTTGGGTTTAGTTTTAATTTTATTGATTATAGGATCCCAAGCAACAATAAAAGTTTTAAAAAAAGGTATTAATTTCGCAATAACACCGCGAAAAATACCGTATGAGGACATTATCTGTAGTGTTGAGGACTGTCTGTATAAAAATAATATTAGTAATGAAGATTTAGAGGCCATACGTCAAGACATCTCGTCTATGTTACGTCGAAGTTCAGCGCCGAAATTAAATCTTCCCAAAAATGAATTTAACGCGTTGAAAAACTTACGCAACAGAACAGAGCTTACGATTCTCCGCGCAGATAAAGGTAATTCTACGGTTATAATGGATATGTCAGATTACAATTTTAAAATACAACAACTTTTGTCGGATGAAACTACTTATCGAAAGGTCAAAACAGACCCTACAGGTAATACGCTTAAAACAACAAGCGATCTAATTAAGAAATACTCCGAAAAATTGAATCTGGACGTCAATTCGATAATACCTTCATGTACCAAACCACCGAAGTTGTATGGGTTACCAAAGATACACAAACCGAATGCTCCATTACGTCCAATAGTGAGTCAGATTGATTCGCCAACTTACAGATTGGCTCAATACTTAGCTAAAATATTATCACCACTCAGAGGACACACAAGAGCACACACTAAGGATTCATACCATTTTGTCAGTGAGATAAAAGACCTACGTCTTACTGACAATGAAACCATGGTCAGTTTTGATGTTCAGTCTCTATTTACATGCCTACCTGTTGAAGACTGCATCTCAATTATAACTAGGAAACTAGAAGAAAATAACATGCCAGCAGGATATGCAGTATTACTAAGACATTGCCTTACATCTGGCTATCTATTGTGGAAGGAAGAGTTTTACAAGCAAGTAGATGGTGTTGCGATGGGCTCACCTGTATCTCCCATTGTCGCCGATATATTCATGGAAGACTTTGAGGAGAAAGCCCTCCTTACTGCACCTGTTACACCAAGGATCTACAAGTGGTACGTAGACGATACTTTCACAATTTTACCATCAGACAACAACATCTTAATTCCATAAACTCTAAAATTCAATTTACTATGGAGTTAGAGGCAAATAATTCCTTACCTTTCCTAGATGTGTTAGTCATCCGAAATCCTAATAACACCATTGGTCACACTGTGTATAGGAAAAGGACCCATACAAACCGATATTTAAACGGTGAATCTCACCACCATCCTTCACAGTTAGCTACCGTGGGCAAATCTTTGTTACAGAGAGCACGAGGGATCTGTGACAGCAAACACCGGCCGCCGAGCTTCAGCACGTCAAGCAAGTTCTGCACGACAACAAGCTTCGGGTCCCGCGCCTACATCACAGTGACCGAGTGAAGCCGGCCACAGTCGAGCGTGTGCCTGCTGTACTACCATACGTCAGAGGTGTTAAGATTGGCTATATCTTGAAGCGAGCTTCTATTAGAACATTCTACAAGCCGCCGAAGAAGACTAGTCAGTTCCTACCATCCGTCAAGTGTCATATTCCTCTACAAGATGCAGGAGTGTACAAGCTTGATTGTGAATGTGGTCTCTCTTATATAGGACAAACAAAAAGATCAATTAGGACCCGCGTAAAAGAACATATAGCTGATGTGAAGCATCAACGTTCCGGGAAGTCTGCAGTTTGTGATCATATCCTAGACCGACCCAATCATTACATCAGATTTGATAGACCACAAATCCTCGCGAAAGAACACCGATTCCTACCAAGGATGATACGTGAGGCTATTGAAATTAAAAAACATCCCAATTTCAATAGAGAAGGAGGCTGGGTACTACCACCTGCTTGGGTTTCCTATAATCAATAAAATTAAAACTAAACCCTAGTATACCACTGCAAGACCTCAGGACATAGTCAGTTCATTTTGCATAGATCGGACCATAAACAATAATTAAAAAAGCTGAAGGTACTCCGGGTTTAACAATGACATCGGGACGTCAGTCATCTCAGTCCCCCGTGACCATGGGTGCTGGAAAGCGCCCGAAACGTCGGGAATTAAAAATAAAAGTAAATAAAAGTAAAAATAAACGCGATAAAATCCGTAAAAGTAGTTTTAATCAAATTAACGTCAAATTAAAAATGATAAAATATGCTCTCTCTCTCTTTCCACTAAGTGCTTGGATAGACTGCAAACGCGGGGGCGGGGCGGGCGCGGTGCGACGTACTCAAACATAAAGTCTTCCTTTGAGTGTCCATAGTGGCCACGCGGGCGCGGGGAGGACGCGGCGGCGGGCGCGGGCTTGTTGACGCGGGAAACGCGCGGGCAGCTCACGCCATAGCTCGTTCATACAAGTGGCCGTAGTGAACGCGCGTGAAGGCAAGCGGTTAACCACGCGAGGAGCGGGCATCTCAAACCACATCGAGCTAACCGCGCGCGTGTTAATGGCGTCTTCCGAAATAAATATAGAAGAATTAATAAGTGCAATTCAAGCACGACCTGCATTGTGGATGACGAAACATCGTCAATACAAAAATAATAAAGTTAATTTAAGATTGTGGAATGAAATAAAATCACTCTTTCCTGGACATGAAGGTATGTAGATTTTTTATTTAGAAATCTTCAACAAGGAATAAAATATTTTTAATTTTTATTTTCCCATAAATACATACAAAATGTTTCCCTTATTATTCTTGCTCTTACACTGTAAGTAGCATTGGAAGGACTTCCTATTCGTCTTGTTCTTTGGTGGTTTGGTGGTAAAGAAATTATATTATTATAATCTACATCCTCGTTACTGTCCAAGTCTGTAATAATTTTATGAAGCAGACAACATGCTTTAATAATGCGGCATGCATTTTTTGTGTTCCTTTCTATTGGCTTCTGCAATATACGCCATTTTGCCGCCAAAATACCAAATGTACATTTAATGTCATTCTTGCCGAAGACACTTTTTGATTATAGTAATCTCTTTGAGGCGTTAATGTACGCTGAGGATATGGCCGTAGCAAAAAAAGGTTTTAATGGATAGGCCTCATCGCCTAGTAATACATTCGGCAGAATAACATTGGAACCGGGGAGACATGACTCGGGGGGTACATTGAACTGTTGATTTTATAATAATCGATTGAGTTTAGAAAAGTGATAGGTTCCACCATCACTCTGTTTCCCTTTGCCTTCAATAACAATAAATCGTTTTTTAGCGTCTGCTACAGCTTGTAAAACTACAGAGTAAAATTTTTTGTAATTGTAATAAGCAGATCCAGATTTCTTTGGACATTTTACTCTAAAATGTTTTCCATCAATACATCCAAAACAATTGGGAAATTGCCACATGTTATTATAATCGTGTGTATTGTTCGTGTTCAGTAGGTTTTGGCATATGTTGACATAAAAGGCTTTTCCATATAGCATCGCAAGTATCATAGACAATTTCAGCAATGGTACTTTGTCAAGCGGTCTGAATCCCGTACCAGTCGATAGAAATCTGAAACAAATAAGTAGGTAATATTATTAAATATTTTATCTGTACTTATGTAAAATAAATTTATCATTTTCAGTGTCTCTAATTAAAAAGAATTGGAAAAATGTTAAAGACCATTATAAAAAAGAATTAAAAAAGTTTCCGGCTATTAGGTCTGGAATGGGAGGCGAGTCTGTATCTTCCACTTCGTACTTAGAATTAATGACGTTCTTAAACGATGATGTAATACCAGAACCAACAAGACCATTATAAAAAAAGAATTAAAAAAAGTTTCCGGCTATTAGGTCTGGAATGGGAGGCGAGTCTGTATCTTCCACTTCGTACTTAGAATTAATGACGTTCTTAAACGATGATGTAATACCAGAACCAACAAGACCATTATAAAAAAGAATTAAAAAAAGTTTCCGGCTATTAGGTCTGGAATGGGAGGCGAGTCTGTATCTTCCACTTCGTACTTAGAATTAATGACGTTCTTAAACGATGATGTAATACCAGAACCAACAAGTCCATTATAAAAAAGAAAAAAGTTTCCGGCTATTAGGTCTGGAATGGGAGGCGAGTCTGTATCTTCCACTTCGTACTTAGAATTAATGACGTTCTTAAATGATGATGTAATACCAGAACCAACAAGACCATTATAAAAAAGAATTAAAAAAGTTTCCGGCTATTAGGTCTGGAATGGGAGGCGAGTCTGTATCTTCCACTTCGTACTTAGAATTAATGACGTTCTTAAACGATGATGTAATACCAGAACCAACAAGACCATTATAAAAAAGAATTAAAAAAAGTTTCCGGCTATTAGGTCTGGAATGGGAGGCGAGTCTGTATCTTCCACTTCGTACTTAGAATTAATGACGTTCTTAAACGATGATGTAATACCAGAACCAACAAGACCATTATAAAAAAGAATTAAAAAAGTTTCCGGCTATTAGGTCTGGAATGGGAGGCGAGTCTGTATCTTCCACTTCGTACTTAGAATTAATGACGTTCTTAAACGATGATGTAATACCAGAACCAACAAGACCATTATAAAAAAGAATTAAAAAAGTTTCCGGCTATTAGGTCTGGAATGGGAGGCGAGTCTGTATCTTCCACTTCGTACTTAGAATTAATGACGTTCTTAAACGATGATGTAATACCAGAACCAACAAGACCATTATAAAAAAGAATTAAAAAAGTTTCCGGCTATTAGGTCTGGAATGGGAGGCGAGTCTGTATCTTCCACTTCGTACTTAGAATTAATGACGTTCTTAAACTATGATGTAATACCAGAACCAACAAGACCATTATAAAAAAGAATTAAAAAAGTTTCCGGCTATTAGGTCTGGAATGGGAGGCGAGTCTGTATCTTCCACTTCGTACTTCGAATTAATGACGTTCTTAAACGATGATGTAATACCAGAACCAACAAGACCATTATAAAAAAGAATTAAAAAAGTTTCCGGCTATTAGGTCTGGAATGGGAGGCGAGTCTGTATCTTCCACTTCGTACTTAGAATTAATGACGTTCTTAAACGATGATGTAATACCAGAACCAACAAGACCATTATAAAAAAAGAATTAAAAAAGTTTCCGGCTATTAGGTCTGGAATGGGAGGCGAGTCTGTATCTTCCACTTCGTACTTAGAATTAATGACGTTCTTAAACGATGATGTAATACCAGAACCAACAAGACCATTATAAAAAAGAATTAAAAAAGTTTCCGGCTATTAGGTCTGGAATGGGAGGCGAGTCTGTATCTTCCACTTCGTACTTAGAATTAATGACGTTCTTAAACTATGATGTAATACCAGAACCAACAAGACCATTATAAAAAAGAATTAAAAAAGTTTCCGGCTATTAGGTCTGGAATGGGAGGCGAGTCTGTATCTTCCACTTCGTACTTAGAATTAATGACGTTCTTAAACGATGATGTAATACCAGAACCAACAAGACCATTATAAAAAAGAATTAAAAAAGTTTCCGGCTATTAGGTCTGGAATGGGAGGCGAGTCTGTATCTTCCACTTCGTACTTAGAATTAATGACGTTCTTAAACGATGATGTAATACCAGAACCAACAAGACCATTATAAAAAAGAATTAAATTAGTTTCCTACTATTAGGTCTGGAATGGGAGGCGAGTCTGTATCTTCCACTTCGTACTTGGAATTAATGACGTTCTTAAACGATGATGTAATACCAGAACCAACAAGACCATTATAAAAAAGAATTAAAAAAGTTTCCGGCTATTAGGTCTGGAATGGGAGGCGAGTCTGTATCTTCCACTTCGTACTTAGAATTAATGACGTTCTTAAACGATGATGTAATACCAGAACCAACAAGAGGGAATTTAGACAGTGATAATGACGATGAAGGTGATAACAATAACCTATCTGAAGACATGGAGCGCATGACTGAAATATCACAGGATAGCGCCACTACAACGTCATCTTCATCCAGGCGTAAAAATAAATCAGCGGCGGAAGTGAGAGACGAGTTTCTTGAATTGGAAAATAAAAAAAATTAAATTGTTGAACACGAAATATGCTGATAAAAAAACTACTGACGACTTAGAAAAAGATGATGATTACCACTTTTTATGAGTCTTATTCCTCAAATGAAAAGCTTCACTAATATTCAAAAGTTAAGATACGCAATAAAATAACGTCAATAATTTTAGATGAAGCAGAAATGCATACGTATATTCCTAGTCACTCACGCAATTTGACTACCACTACTCAACCGAGAGATTTGACTCCTGCTAATACTTATGGTTACCATACTAATGATTTTGACTTTAATTATAACTAAGGTTTTTTTAAGTTATACGTGTTGATTAAGTTAATATTTTAATAAAAAAATACTGATACTTATTACTTTTCTTAATCTAATTTTTTCCAACGACAAGTTCGGTGGGTTATTGTGTAAGATGAATGATTGAAACACAATCGTGTTCACCATACTTTGATGTTCAAATCCGATTAATCGATTAATTGTGTCATTTGTATAAATATAATAACCCATATAATTCAAAATAATTGTATTTTTATAGACTCTAACCCCTACAGTAAAGCGATAATGACGGTACAAAGTCTAAGTGTCAGTCTTAACGTGCTCTTGACTGTACCTATACCCTAGCATATGGTACAAATAAATATTAATATAAAAAACCCTCAGGTATCGTAACGTACTTACCGTAACGTTATGAATAACTTTTCAAGAGATGGAATGCTTCGGCGAAAGTTGGAATTTTTTTTTTTATAAAACAATTTTCTATGTTTTCTAATATATAGTCAAACGTATCTATTGACATTCTTGTATATTCAAAAAACTTTTGAGGTTGAGCTCGCAATTTTACATACAGTGTGTGAAATTCTCCTTCATTTTCTCTGGTTAAATTGATTTCATTAATTCCATTTTTCACTTGTAGAATTTGCCATTTAAAGTAAGAACTTTCCAGTAAAAATAAGTCTTCTTCATCCATATTTGACAAACACTGAACACAACAACACTCGGAACGAAGCCGCACTTGACTGCGGACAGTCACTTCGCGGCCGTACCCGCACTCGCGCCGCGCCCCGCCCCCGCGTTTGCAGTCTGGCCAAGCACTAAATGACAAAAGAAAAACTCAGGTATACAGTATCTAACAAAACTAAATATACTGGATGACCTTTTTTACTGTCTGAAAAAATAGGGTGTTACATGTGAACGGAGTAGAAACCTATGGCACCGATAATTACAAAAAATAAAAACAAAATTTATTATATATTAAATAAATTAATTAAAAACTATCGAAATTTAAATCATATCCACCCTACTTTACGAAAGTCAATAAAACAATAAATTTAGTAGGCATCTTTGACCTTGTCACTTCACAGGTTCACAGGCTCAAGGGCAAATAAATTGTTCAAAAAAAAATTCAAACGTTTAATTCAAAATTTTTGTTTTTATTTTTTATAACATATCAGTGCCATCGGCTTCTACTCCGTTCACATGTTATACCCTATTTTCTTCCAGACGGTAAAAAATGTCATCCATTATAACCCGGTGATCCTTTTAGGGACGCATAGATATACTTACATATAAGCATTGCATTTAATAATAATAATAATATTAATCAGATGATATATATAGATATTGAATCAAATAATTATAGAAATCCGATGTCGAGGTCATTGACAGACATAAATTACGACACGAGAGATCGAAAAATCGTCAGAAATTACTAAAGGACGACACTAATACGGAGCTTTCCGCTTTGTATTTTGATGGCAAGAAAGACCAAACTTTAAAGATTATAAAAAGGTAATAAATATTACCACTATTATAGAACAATGACTGTTAAAGAGCACGTTTTACTAATTCAGGAGCCGGGTTCTATCTACAGAGAATATGATTGCTCTGACTACATTTGACGTAAAAGTTTACGCCCCAGTTTCATTTATAATCTCTAGTTAACTCTAATTTTTATTTATCTTAGCCCAAACATACTACACGAAAATGGCGCACGAAATGACAGTAGATTATAAATAAATATCCACAGACTAAGTGACTTTTTATTCCACTAGAGAATAGAAAATTTCATATTGATTCCATAATGCCAAACTTCTTCATAGAAAAGTAGTCTCTAAACATAAGTATTTATGAGTTATAGTAAAAAATAAAAAATAAAGTTCTGTGGGTGGGTGCGGTCGCATTTGACTTCTTGAATTTTGATGGTTTAGCGAAGCGGTCAAATTTGGACGCTTGCCGTTTAGGAGGTTAAATACATTAAATTATAAACTTAAAATCAGAAATTACCGTGTAGTGGCGGTGTAAGAATACCCACTATCCCATATTATCCTGTGGGTCAAATCAGGAGATGGGCAGCAGTGTCTTCCTAATAATATTGCCGTACGCTGGAAGCTTATCCAAAAGGCCAGCGTGCCAAACTCTGTCAAAGGCCTTCGAGACATCAAGGGAAACAGTAAGTGCTTCCCCACTATTCTCGAGTGCCTCGCACCATATGTGTGTGGCATACGCTAGAAGGGGTCCGCAGCTGACCAATTTCAGCGAAACTTGTATTGCCGGTTACTAAGGAGGTCATTCTGTTCTAGGTATGCCATTAAGCGGGCTTTCAATATATGCTCCATAATCTTGCAGAGTATGGAGATAATTGAGATTGGCCGCTAATTGGCAGGGTCGGCACGCCTGTTTTTTTTAGAACAGGCGGCATGTTGACCAGCTTCCAGGATTTTGACACTATTCCAATCATAAATGAGGCGGAACAAGCGTATAAATACAGGAGACAACTCAGGTGCATAAGCCTTTAGAACTATAGCTAGTATAGAATCTGGTCCACTAGCTTTATTCACGTCTAGACACCGCAAGTTTTTAAGAAACTCCTTACTTGTAATACGAACCTTCGACATAAGAGTTCCCGCAGTGAGTTAATTTAGATGGAATATTATTACCACTGTGCAGACGCGAATTGTAGACAAATAGAGACGCGAACAAGTCCGCTTTCTCTTTAGCCGTATGCGCCAGTGTGCCATCCTGTTTTACCAGTGGAGGCAGTGTAGGCCGACAGAAGTTTGTCTCGACCGCTTTGGCAAGAGACCAAAAAGCTCTAGTGCCAGATGGTCCGGCAGAGTTTTGTGCCAATACGTTTAATGCGATCAAGACTGGCTCTCCGTAATGCTTTTTTGTACGTCTTGGCGGCCTGGTTGAAAGTCTTTTTTGGAGCTGATATCCGGAGCTTCGCGGTTTCGAGCGTCAACCCAGGATAGGTACGCTAAATGCTTGCATTTTTCGGATAAGCTGAAAAACGCAAGCATTCAGCGTTAAATCATAAAGCTTTGCTATCGGCAGGAGCGTCAGAAAAGAAGATTAAATACCCTATAGCTTGACGCAACACATCGTTTATCGAATCCGCGCAACTACACGGATCCGCAGAAGAGAAACAGACCTCTCGCCAAGGATACGATGCAAAAAAGTGTCGTATCACATCCCAACCAACAGATTGCAATTATATGGGCTCTCTCCACCCCATACACTACAAGGCAAGCACTACTTTTTGGAGGTAGACAAAATTAAGAGGGCGGTACTTACCCACTCGGATCTCCTTGGTAGTAATGACGGATCTCTGTCCATTTAATTATTAACGATGTTATGCATTATTTCACAAAATGCGCTTAACAATATTTTAGTGATTAATTATTAATAACGCACCTGTTCAAATTACGCACCTGTTTAAAACATCGATCATTCTTTTTGCATAACTGTAACCATAATTTGAAGAGTGGGGCGGTCCATTGTGCACCTGTAATGTAATGAACCAATATAAAATAATAGGCAATGGTAATAAGAAATACATGCCTGAGAAATTTAGAAAATAAATAGAGAAAATGTGAAGTCTACTAACACACATTGAGTAGTGCGGCAGGCTCTTAAACCCTCTTTAGAGATAAGAAGCTTGTGCCCAGCAGTGGGAAATATGTAGGCTATAACTTTACATATGAACATAAACGTTAAGTAGGAGTGGGCTCGTCTAATGAAGTCAATGCTCCGTCCCCCTCGTGTTCTAATCCAAAGTCCCGAAATATTTCAGCTCGAGTTACAAAACCGTTTTCAGTGCCTAGAAGAGTACAATGCAGTGAACGATTTGAATGATAAGCTTGTGGAAATTGTCCATGCGGTCGGAGCTAAGTTCTGCAAGACATGCCACAGAAGAGCACAAAATCTCTACGATCACACTTGTCACAAGACAGGTCTCCAAATGCATGCGGCGGGACTTACGCAACTTTAATACTGCTCGTATTGAAGTAGCGATCGTGCGTAACCAGAGCTCCAAAGTCTTTGCCACAGATCTGTCTGCCAAAAAAAAGCCAACTGGCAAAACTGAAGACCGAGTGTGGCAGCGACGACTTCCAGCCTCCAGAAAAAGCCGGTTTTCGCGAAAATACTTCAGTAAAGAGTACAATCCGTCACTTTGTCTTGCGTAAGTGAACTATGAGAAAGCCTTTGATTCCGTCAAAATTTGGGCGGTGATACAATCCCTTTAGCAGTGCCAAGTTAACTGTCGGTATATCGAAGTGCTAAAGTGTTTTTACAGTAGGGGTACGATGGCTATCTGAGTAAGGAACCAGAGTAAGAAACCTATCTAACTGCAGAGCAGTGTAAGAGAGGGTGACTTTATATCGCCGAAACTCTTTATCGCTGTATTGGAGGATGTTTTCAAGCTACTGAACTGGAAAGGATATTCGATTCGATTTGCCAACAATATAGTCCTTACAAAGATCATGTATAATGTCCATGTCACACCTATGCCAGTAGTTGTTGGGAGCACTAAACTCGAAGTTGTTGACGAGTATTTTAACTTTATCTGGGACAAATAGTCCGACTAGGTAAGTCCAACTTCAACTGAGAGATCAATCGACTAATTTAACTCTCAGGCTGGGCAGCGTTCGGGAAATTACGACACATCATTTCGTCAGGTATACCTCAAAACCGGAAAACGAGATTGTACAATCAGTGCATAATGCCAGTGATGGCTTATGAATCTGAGACGTGGTTTTTTACTGCTGGCCGTATGAGGACGCTCAAGGTCGCCCAGCAAGCTATTGAGAGGACTATGTAGGTTTCTCTGTGTGATAAGCTTAGAAATGAGGATATCCGCAGTAGAACCAGAGTGACCGACGCAGCGCAACAAAATTAGTAAGCTGAAGTGGCTATGGGGAGGCCTTTTATCTCGAAGAACCGACAACCAATGGGGAAAAAAGCTTCTCGAGTGGCAGCCTCGTACTGGTGGTCATAGTGTAGAGTAACCCCCCACTAGATGGAGTGACGACCTGGTAAGACAAGCAGGAAGTCGATGGATGCAGGTAGCTCACGACCATGCTTTGTGGCATTCCTTGAGGGAGGCCTATGTTCAGCAGACTTAAGACCGGACTTGTGAAGGCCTGTAATGATGATGATAATGATGAATGAACTTTACAAATTAAAAGAAAACTTATGTCCACTTACCATAGTCTCATCTATTGGGTAAGTAGTTTTGTCAGGGAAGATACATGTGGAAAGGCAAGACACTACCTTCTTCACATTATACTTATAGCTGGCGTACAAAACATTATCATTTATTGCCATGTTCTCTCTCTAAAATGCAAAAGTTACACGAAAATAGGATGAAATAGATTTTTTTATTCAATATAGATTATAAAATATTCTTATAGAAACTATTTTTTAACTTTATACAGAAACCTTATTATTTAAGTAAATAAAAAAAAACACCAGAGGAATTATGAAGAAAACAGAAGAAAGAATAAACAGCTTTTGTGTTTTTGAAGTTAAGAGTCCTTTATGAAAGTCTTATTGTGAGAAACACCTTTGATGAAAAAAATTCCAGTGTTTATGAATGGTGCAAAATTTTTAGTGATATGCATGGTGCTAATCAAAATCCTCTTGCACCTCATCAAATGCTATACATCCATGAAAATCAATAAGCAAAATACTGTTACGAGCGTGAGGTTCGTGACGATGAAAACTGCCGATTGAATTACCAAAATTAACTCTTAAATTCACTTTACACTAATTAAAACTTAAAAGACTAATAATTAATCACACTAATTCACTTTAATCCGCTCCGAAGCATCGCTGGTCGCGCCAAATTCAATACTGCCCCGATCGCACCTTGCAGCGCCTATAAATACACATTAGCACCGAAACATCCAGAACATTCAAGTAAATACGCGCAAGGTGTCGAAAGTTCGAGTGTCGGCTTCTAGAAGCTTAGTTCTTCGTTTCGACACTAGATGGCGCTGTCGGTTGAAAGATTGGTGATGTCATTTTCTGGAAAGTTCCCCTCGCTCTCGTCCCCGACACTAGATGGCGCTAGTGCCGGGTACATGACGTCAACTTAGGCGCGCAACAGTACTGTAGATAGAACTTTTTACGAATATTTGAAAGTAATTAAAAACATTCTGTTCCAAGCTCTTCATAATACTTTTAAAAATCTTATTATGCAATAGCTGCAGGTGAACCTTAAATTACCATAATTTCCATGAATAATGAATCCATTCCTAAGTCATTAGTGATATTAATGAATCTTATAGTTAGTGCAAGTGACATTAAGCACAGGATTGTATATATAGCAAGCATTACTTTAAGAATCAAGGTAAGTGACACCACTCAACTCAAAAAATCAACATAAATATGTAAGTTACAATTATGCTGGCTTCTCACAGCGCATAATCCATCTTAAGGTGAATTTCAATGCAAGCAGAGCCAATTTGTAAGAGCGAGCATGACCCACATTGGACTCCCTACACTGCATCACTATGATATGCAAGTTCTATTAGCCCAGCCGTATACCTTTATAATTAAGTATTCTGAAATAATTTTCTTGGTTCACACAAGTCAAAACAAAATGAAGATAATTCGAGTCTCCACAAGTGGACTTACACCACACCTTTTAATCTAGCGCTAGTGCTAGTCCGTGTCAAGTCACTACCTTCATACAGCAAGTAGTACACCTACACTCAGTGCAGCTTTACATGCATATTAATCATGTTATTTTATGCCAGTATTCTGCATGTAAAATTTTGAACTTATTAATTTTTAAGGTTGTTATATTTATAGGTGTAAGCATTTTCAGTATGAAAACTGCAACTGATCCTTATAACTTAAATAAAGTACTGCAATAAACATAGGGCACATTGCTATGTGATGCTGATGTAAGAGCATTTTCTTTAGTATACAGGGTTATTTTTCAAAGATGTGTTGTAGCCAGATTTTAAACTTAGGTTCAGATTTATATATATATATATATAATGTTATAATAATATATAATAATATAATGTTAGCGCAGTTTTTGAAAATACAAATAAATAAGGCTAATACTTTTATTTGGAATTACTCCAAATTCAATGTGATTTATGAGCAATATTTTTGCCTACCTATCAACCCTTAAAAATGTAATAATATGTATAACATATGCAATAAATCAGTTAAATAAAGCATTACCAGGCATTTTAAATTTTGGTTGTTTTAATTATTTATTTTATTTATTTATTTTATTCTTTATTGCATCCTTAACAAAAGAATACAAAGGGCGGACTTAATGCCTTGAGGCATTCTCTACCAGTCAACCCATGGAGTGGTGAGAATTTGACGTAGGTGTGGCAATATAGAATAAGATAACACAATACAAATGATAATTAACTACATAATATATACAAACTACTAATAAATAAACTATACATATATGATCTATCCTTATATATATACAAATATATAAATAAATGGATGTACATACAAGTAAACATATTTAAATACATACATAATTAGTATATACAAATGACTATGAATATATACGTCTGTTTGGCAATACATATTAAATAGATAAGTCATGTAGAATGCGTTGTCTTTAATAAATGATCACGGACCAACTTTTTAAAAGCGTACTTATTGGGAGCTTTTCTGATGTCATCGGGCAAGGAGTTCCAAAGGCGTGTAGCCTGAACTGTGAAGGAGTTACCATAGAACTCGGTGAAGTGAACTGGAGTACAGATTTTGTTGTTAGAAGAAGAGCGTAGGACCCTATCATGAGATGAGGAAAGATAATGAAATTTACTCTTAAGATAAGAAGGCGAAGATGGATCATTTAATATGGAAAAAAGTACAAGTAATATTCTGGAGTTGCGCCTCTGCCGGATTGTAAGCCAATTTAGCTTAGATCTGTATTGCGAAATATGATCATACTTACGAAGCCCAAAGATAAATCTTATACAGTTATTGAGGAGGCGTTCCAGCTTGTTCAGAAGATCTTGGGACAGGTCTGGGTAACACACATCTGCATAATCAATTATGGGTAATATAAGTGAATGGACAAGCATGATCTTAGATTTTGTGGGGAGAAAATGCTTAAAACGATACAGAGAGCATAACGCGGCAGTGACTTTACGACTGACATCTGAAACCTGAGTTCTCCAATTCAGCGTGCTGTCGATGTGAAGGCCAAGATTTCTAACAGAATTACTGAATGGAATTGTAGTATTATCATAGTAAATAGGAGGTAAGTCTGTCAGATTAATCTTAGCCAGCATCCTTGAGCTACCCACCAGTATAGCTTGGCATTTCAAAGGATTGACCAAAACCCCATAACGAGTTGACCAATCCCTGATAGCTGCTAAGTTGCCGTTAAGGTTTTTGATCCCATTATGGATATCCCCAAATCTCAGTTTGCACATAAAGCTGAAGGTCATCGGCATACAAATGGTACGAGCAGTCGATGATGGAGGTAATAAAGTTTATAAAAATTGAAAACATAGGAGAAAGAATACCGCCTTGCGGCACACCAGCATCCACATCAGCCCACGCAGAGGACAGTTGCCCCACACTGACTGACTGCTGTCGACCGCGAAGATAAGATGTAAACCAATCCAATTCAGTGGGGCCAAAATTCAGGTGAGACAGTATGGAAAGAAGGATTTCGTGATCAACTGTGTTGAAAGCATTTGAGAAATCAACTAGTACCAGTACTGTTATTTTTTTTCTTCCATGCCTTGTTTAATATTATCAATAACATTAATTAATGCAGTAGTGGTACTATGACCAGGACGAAACCCAAACTGATATATACTCAGAAGGTTATGTTTCGAAACAAAAGTAGAAATTTGCTTGTAAACACAGGATTCTAAAATTTTGGAAAGAAAGGGTAGAATGGATATTGGACGAAAATGATTGGGAAGAATGGGAGTAGGAACTTTTGGGAGAGGCTTTACAAAAGCCCTCTTCCAAAGATTAGGATACTGACCTGAATCAAGGGAAAAATTGATTATATGGGAAATTGCCGGGAGAAGGTGCTCTAGTATAAATACTACCATATGTCTACTAATCTCGTCGTAACCCACGGCCTTGGACTGGATTGCTAAAATTGACTTTTTGACATCATCCTGAGAAACAGGAGAAAAATTAAAGGTAGGAATGTTAGAAATTTGCATAGAAGCAATGGAAGCCATAGTTTGGGAACGAATTGTAGGGTCCAGTGCTTTTACAGAAGCGAAATGTTGGTTGATTTTATAAAGTGATAGAGAAGGACCACAATCCAACGTAGCTGGTCTACAAAGACCGAAAGATTTTAGGAATTTCCACACTAAAACTGGAGAAGAGTAATTAATACAGTTATGGAAATATCGGCGTTTAGCTGCACGTACCATATGATTACACCTATTCCTGGCTGCTTTAAAAGATAACCAATTTTCTTCGAAGAAAAGCACGATTTCGTCTAGCCATTGCCATCCTTATGCCCTCTGTCATCCAAGGGGAAGGGAGACGCTTCAATCTAACCTTGTGAACAGGAGCATGAGCATCATAAAGGCTAAGAATATTGTGGTTAAGGATAGTGACTTTATCGTCAACAGTAGATGCTGCTATTAAAGAGGCTAGATCGAGATTAAGAGCGTCATTCCTAAGCTTGTCAAAGTCTATTTTAGAAAAACTGCGAAGATGCATTACAGTAGGGGAATATTTAGGAGGTTTAAGCTTATACGATGCATAAATTAAGTCGTGGCGTGAGAAACCCAAAGCGGGTAACTGTCCATGCGTCATCACATGTTCAGGAGAAGCAGCAAGGATTAGATCAATCAATGAGTCATCGGTTCCGATATTATGATGAGTAGCCTTTAAAGGGAGAATAGAAAGATTAACCGACTCAATAATTGAAAGAAACCTTTTGGAACGAGGGCAGTTTTTCAACAGATCAGTATTGAAATCACCCATGATTATACAGTGAGTGTACTCAGAACAAATATCAACAGGAGCCATATCTAAAGTGGCGAAGCAGTCGGTAGATGGGGGGCAATACACTACCCCTAGAAGCATCCTGATGCCCTTGACATCGAGTTCCACAAATAAAAACTCAGAAGAAGCGGAATAGCAGGAGGGAGATGCTAAGACAATTTTATAAGGAATTGATGCATGTAGGCATTGATTTATATAACACTAGATCAGTAATAACCGCGCCAAAGCGTTGCCACTGCACATATGGCCACAGCCATATGCCTAGCTAACGTCAGTTCAGTGTTCAATGTGACGTCGACAGAGTTGAGCCGGGACAAAAAATGGGTAAATGCGTAGTGAAAGAATACTATTCAAGGTCACAAAAACGTAATAAATCAAGCGGAATCACTTTCAACACATAATTTTTAGTTCTTATTTTCATATAAACGTAAAAAACCTCAAATAATTAAATAAAATTATCGAATATTGCCATTTAGGTTCAATGTTGCCACTTTTCCACATTTGTGATTATACTACATTAATGGGAGACTATATAATTAATGGAGTAAGTTAATTTGTTGCCTCTGATTTTAAATATTTTGGAAATTATAATTAAAACTACGTTTTAACTTTCATACAAAATAATTAATTATTCTTATTTTCGTTTATTCATATATTATCCATTAAATATATTTTATTACCTATATTATATTAATAAATTTATATTATTTATAATTTCATATAAATTTTATATTAATTATATTTTATTACCTATTTTTATATTTTTTGATTTATTAGTACCAAATACGTTTTATTTCATCATTACGTTTACTTCTATTCATCTGATAATCTTGTATCCTTTTTTTTCTAAGGGGACGTAATAAAGATTTTAAAATAAAATGTACTTTTTAATATAAAAACAATTAACTGCAGCTTAAAAAAAACTCATTTTTATTGCGTATTTTAGGTAAAATTTCATATAGTAAGCCACACCAACCCGCCATTGCATGTTTGTGTGTCTATCTTTATCTAATCTTAGCGACGATATTGTTTTCGCAACTTGTGTAAGTGAGATAGATATATGTTTACTTAAAATTGTTATTAGTTTCAAAGCTACGTCTTCGCGTTTGGATAGTGGTTACACTTTTTTCGACTCGCCGTAATGTGGTTTGCTCCTCTAGTGTTGTATAACTCAATGCATGTAGGTAGATTGCTACACCACCTTCACCTTTTCCAACACGATCATTCCTAACAAGTACAAAGCCGGGTAAGGGATATAAAGTTGATGGTAAAGAAGGTTTCAGCCAACTTTCCGACACTAATATAGCATGAATATACTCGGGGAAAAATGAAGCTTCAAGTTCGGAATAGTGGCTCGGGATACTTTGAGCGTTAATATGACATATGTTCACAGAGTTGTTAAAAGACGTAAAAACTCCTTTGAGTAGTTCGTGTAAATTAAGGACGCTATCGTTGAGAGAATCGTTACAAGAGTGAAATGACAAAGTAGAAGAATCATTTGCGGAGCTAAACGACTCAACATCAGACATATTACATATACTAAAATAATAAATAAATTAAATAAATATATAGAAAATAATAATAAAAAATAAAAAAAGTAAGTTATGTAAGCTATAACTATTAACTAACAATTACTAAACATAAACATCACCAACCCATCAGTTCACTGTTTACAGAGTAAACTTAATATAAATAAAATTTTATATGCAAACTTATGATCTAAAATATCTAAAGTGGCAAAAATGATCTTGACTAATAATAAAGTTCCTAAGTAGACACACACAAAATATTACGGAGAATGTTTACCAAGAGAAAATCGATTAAAGCAAAGTATAAGATCGACGCTGGCTGTATGATTCATGTGTCCTTTGTCTATAACAGGCAAAAAAAAAGTAATACATAGTTGTCATTGTCAAATCAAACAAATCAAAACCCAAAATTTAACAAAAAAAAAATCAAATTAAAAATATGTGGTAGGTACATTTATAACAAGATAAGTATTGTTACCAATATCAAGCATAGTATAAACAAACCTACTAAGTAAGAAACCTCAACCAAGAAACAAAAGGAAACTAAACCCAAGCAAGTTATGTATTACAAGATAAAATCTCATTAAGTTTATATTTAGAGAAATAAAAATTCCTGCAGACTATACTATTAGAAGAAAACAACTTAAAAAAATAATTGCAATTATACTGCTTACACTACAACTTAACTTATGACTACAGTACAGACAATATTATTCTGTGCTACAGTCATTACAACCAAGAAGATGCGGGAATATAAACACTTAACTAAATATATGTAAATCAATAATATAAAACAATGGATTACAAAAATAAAGGATACCTAGGAATACCATTATATGTAAATTAAGCAAGCTATTTTTTAGCAATTAAACGGCGGGACCTTTTAGAATCCTCTTTCTGTACCACCACATCATCTTGATTGCGAGGGGAACGGGGGGGTCTCACACAGAATTTTTGTGCTTGAAGAACTTTGCAGTGCTTGTATGGGTTTCTTTACGCTATTAGTGATACTGCTGTTAGGGGCCATGCTAAGACTTGCTGATGAAAAATCAACAGGAAACTGTTTAATGAGAATATCAATCTCCTCTTCAGTGAAGATTTTTGCCCGTTCATTATTGGGAAGTTTGATAAAAATTGCTCCATCTAAGGTCCACACATTCTTCATTTCAAAATGCTTGCGGGCTTTTTTTAAGAACAGATTGCCTGATTTTAGTTAAAAACTCAGACACAGATATTTGAGATCCCTTTAACTTAGTTTTAGCTTTCCACACTTCAGACTTTGTGTTATGCTCATGAAATTGTACAAGAATTGGACGTGAACGACCATCCTTTTGAACACCAATTCGATGGCAATGTACTAAGGCCACATTTGTAACATGTGGGATACCCATTTTCTTATGTATGATACCCAGTATTTCTTGTTCAATATTAACTTCTGGGGAGTCAGAGATCCCATTAAATAGAAGGATATTCTGTCTGTGCTGCATATCAATAGCATCAATTGACTTAGTGCAGGCTTGAATTTGTTGCCGAAGGAGATTGAGCATGGAGCAAACGACGTCCTTGAATTCATAAAACTCCTCACGGAGTTGATTAAGAGAGGGATTAGTAGCTGTGGAGGCAGCCTTTAATCTGTTTTCAAATTCAGCCATTTTGCGACTCCAGCTTCCTTCAAGTTCTCTTTGCATGACCTCCACATCAGTTACTCTTGCCATTTCTTCCAATATTTGCTGTGATATTAGTGAACACAAAGTGAAGTGCTAATGAGTGATATAGTTTGCAAAAACAAAGTGACACTAATGGGTGGTATGTGAATGTCACAAATATTTTATCTGGACATATATTTCAATAGGACTTCAAAAGAAAAGGTAATAAAGATGTAATTAATATGTAAATATAGTCCAAACACTGGTTTAAAATAATTTTAAAGTATATAAAATATAGGAGCCAATAAGTCAGCAGTTACTTGTTACACACCTACCCACAAAAAAAAATTACTTTTTCTTCATCATTTGTCTAAATTACTTATACTGTATCTTTTCTGGAAAACCCATACACAAGTTTTTACTGGTTAATATTTTAATTTATACAATATTTTCAACTTACAAAAAAATCCAAGTTATGTGCCATGTTATGGAACAACCCACCCACCATAGCTGCCAAATGAATCACATGAGTAGGTTTATGTTTTTCAAATAGTGCCTCAGTCTTTGCTTTATCTCTGAAAGTAAATTAGACACAATATAAATTAAATGGCACAATTTATCGAAAGGTTAGATGTAAAGTTCATCTACTAAATGGCATAAAGAACTATCTCTCTATTTATTAATTTGGAACTAGACTTAAAAATAAGATCTATTTCATACTATATGTAGTAGAGCCACGCTGCAGCTATATGTAGTAGAGCCATGCTGCAGTTATATTAGTAGTATAGCCTTAGCACGAATGTGTTAAGGTGTTCACAAATGAAATGAACATAAAATCAAACTTTTTTTTCTTAATTTGCTTTCATAAGAATTTTATTCACAATACAGGTACATAGTAATAACCTCTCAATTCTTAGATTATCAATCCTTTAAGGTTTAAAGGGTTGAAATTTAGAATCGTTTGGCAGGAATTTGGGGGAGTAAGGTGTTTTATTTGGTAGAGGTTTGGTCCCCGATTATAATAATACCACTCCCATTAAAAGGTAATGCACAGTTCTTGAGAAAAATCAAAAAGAAAATCCCATAGAACTAACCTCAAAATCATAACTCAAAATTAATTAACAGGGGAAGGTGGTGGAGAAGAAGGCGGGGGAGTTGTAGAGTCGCCCCCCACTTCCACATCCTGCCGGACATTCATAGCTTTTTTAAAAAATCTAATTTTGAGGTTATGTTTTTGTAATGTTTTTGACTATAAACTTGATTTATGGGGGGAGAGAGTTGGAGGAGGGAAGCACCACCAGTAACCATAGGCCGGTCGACGGACCAGTCGTTGGCTCCTACTTCTGAGTTGTTTATAAACAAATAACCACGAAGGGAATGGTGCGGTCAATTAGCTCGCTCTGCTCGCTCACTCGACCCCACCATCCCCTTCTAACGTAACCTGTCTGAGTCGGGGTTCCCTAAGTCCCGAGCTCGCTTCACTCGCTCTTGCACTCAACAAAACACCAAAATATTAACTTTTATAATTACTATAAATTATACATATAATATACAGTGTGTAAGTGTAAACACCGTTGTCACTGAAACCATAGGTGGTTGGCTTTAATATAAAAGTATTTATCCGATTTTTTTTTAAAAAAACGCTATTTTCTTTTATAAAATTAAAAAAGTTTCTGTCCGACACCGTCCGTAAATTCATGGATACCCTATGCGCTCGAGTGACGTAATCACTGTAAAGATCACCGCCCGCCCTTGCTACCTACACAACATTTCAATATAAACACAATGGTACACATAACCTATCATCTGAATTAGAAAAAGTATAGAAAAAATTGTTGTCAAACAAATTTCAAAATTCTTAGAAAATAATGATGTTATTACAGATTTACAATATGGATTTAGGCCAAAAAGAAGCACAGACATGGCTTTAGCTAAATTTACAGACGACGTGAATAACGCTCTTAATGACCAAAACCTAGTAGGTGTTATTTTTATCGATTTTAAAAAAGCTTTTGACACACTGGACCACGATGGCTTGCTGCAGTCTATGGAAGAGTGCGGTATTCGAGGACCCACAAACTTATGGTTCCGCAACTATTTAAAGGACAGAACGTTAGAAGTCCGCATTAGCGAAACTAGTAGTGACCTTGGTAAAATCAAATATGGAGTCCCAACCGGCTCAGTATTCGGTCCAGTAGGGTACATCATCCATGTAAATGGAATGAGTAAAGTAGTACGATCATGTGAAATGTATATGTATGCTGATGACACTTGCCTAATGTACTCGTACAAAGATCCAAAGACGATACAAATTGTTATGCAAAAAGACTTAGACAACATTGTTAAATGGGCGCATGATAATGGTATTATAATTAATATAAGCAAAACTAAATTTATGTTAATATCTTCGCCATACAATCGACAAAAGCATGCCGACATTGTAATTAAAGGGCATACCTACGATTGTTTCCACAGAAATAACAATGTAAATAACTGTAAATGTCTGAAGTTAGAACAAGTCTCATGCTACAAATACCTAGGACTAACTATAGATACCAGTTTTGTATGGAGTATACATGTTCAGCAAATCTGTAACAAATTACGTAGTGTATTGGGTAAATTGTACCACCTGAAATTTAGGCTAAGCAGAAGTATGTTACATATGCTGTACTATGTGCTTGCGGATACTACTATAGATTACGGGTTGGGTAGCTATGGGACTTACGTTCCCAGTGTATTTAAATAAAATCAAAGAACTACAAACAAGGTTGTTAAAGATACTAGTAGATAATAAAGTGAAAAGTGAGTGTAATAAAGAATATAATAAACTTTTCAAAATTTGTAAAATTGTACCTGTAGACAAAAAAGTGAAAATAAAGTTGATAATGGAACAGTATAATAAAAATGAGTTTAAAGTAGAAAGAGAATATGGCTACCCTACTCGTCAATCCACTAGAAAAGGAAAATATGTAGTACCTAAAATTAAAAATTACTTCGGTATGCGCACGAGACGATGGGTTATCCCGCAATTACATAACGAGCTGCCGCCGGACTTGCTTAGTAAAGTTATCTCAAAAAATCATTTAAAAAATATCCTAAGAAAACATAATCTATCATTGTGTCCATAAAGGTACGCCACAGGCCACGAGTAACGTACTGTTAAAATTAGCAGTCTATATGCGATGTGTGCTGTTTGAGTATGTGTTGAATTAGTGTATATGTGTATATACAGTATGCATATAAAAAAAATCAAAAAGTAATGAACCAATTTTGATATTTGGCTGATGTGGACCTCATAACAAACTTTGTACTAAATATGTATAGATAAAATAATAAAATAGATTTTGGGAGATATTAGTATATGTATAAGAAATTATATTTCAGATTATATGTATAAACATAAGCATGTAAGACGAGAACTACTGCCGACAAACTGTAATGCAGTTTGGCAGATAAAAATGTTAAAAACGTTTATTGTATAATTGGAAGAAAATAAATAAAAAAAAAAATGAAACTTTTCCTTCATACTTTCACACTTGCTAGGACAGATAAAAATTCCTACCCTTTGTGTTGCGTGACGAGTCCAAATTAATGTAAGTTAGATTTAACAACAAAGATAATTAAACATTAATAATAGTAAATAGTAAATCATTAGGTAGGATTTTTGGCGTATTTACCGTATACCGTACCGCGGCCCTGGAACGCAAAGGGCATTTGAAGCATAAGCTGACCGTTCATTGTACGGAAAGATCATACAAAGCGAGGCCAAGACAAAGGATTTGTACAGCTTGCTGTGTAGCCTGATTGATTGGTTATTTACACTTACCTATTAAATAAAATCCTCGTAAATTAATTCCATTTTGATCAGCTTTTACATTAATCGTAAAAGCTAGAAGCACAACAATGTCATTTCTCTAAATACACTAAGAATTCGCCTATTGAGTTCAGACGTATTACGGAACTTAGTTGCATACACTCGGCGCTTCACTTCTCCCCAAAGATAAAAGTCCAGCGGGGTAAGGTCGGTTCATCGCCCAGGAAACTCCTCAACCAGCATAGCCCAGATTTGCAGCTGAAAATGTGCAGGGGCACCGTCATGTTGGTAGTAGAGGTTTCTCAGTGAACAAAGAGGCACATTTCCACTGCACGTTTATGTAGGACATTATTACAAATTAAATACACTCGCACCAAAACTACAACCTAAAGCGACGTAGAATGTCGGCACTGCGCGGCGCGGTTTTAAATCAAATTAACACGTACATTCCGTACCGACGCAGCGAAGGTGACTGACACACTGACACAGTGACATTGGCCTTGACCGCGAATCGCTGCCGCTACCTACGATATGTTGTTTTTAGTTGTGAATTCTGTAGGTATATCCCTACTTACCTAGGGTGAAATAATTGTAAGAAAAAACTGAGATTTGACAAAAAAAAATGTTGTTATTTTTCATTGAAATTACTTTCTATAAGTGAAACCAAACCACTGGTTTCAAGGACAACGGTGTTTACACTAACAACCTGTATAATACAATAATAACCTCACTACGGCTCGCACAGTTGCCTGCGATTTGCTACGACGGGCAGGGGCTGCTCTCCCTCAGCACCTACGACTACGAAAACACTTTAGGAGTAGGGCAGACAAGATTTCGTGGATTTGGTGTGTGCTGATTTAATTTTAGTACAGTTTCGATCAGATCGGATATCTATAATCAGGTTGCCTTTGCTCCCCGTCACAGACACAAAATTCTGTATGCTATCCAGCCTTCACAGTAATATCGTATAATTTTTTCTCAGAAGGGCTAGAACCCAAAGCCATAAAGTCAGTTAATAATAAAAAATCACTTTCTATACTTTACGTATTTAAGGTTATAATAGTTTTTATTTATTTTTTCGATAATGGTGCATTACCTTTTGAATGTGAGTGGTATTATTATAATCGGGGACCAAACCTCTACCAAATAAAACACCTTACTCCCTCAAATTCCTACCAAATGATTCTAAAACCAACCCGTTTAAAGTGCTGTGGGTGGGTGCAGTCGCATGCGACTGCTCGGGATTTGAAGAGTTAAATCCATAAAGTCATGAAGAAGGTAAATTAAAATTTTCAAACCTGAGGTCTGCATCCTTTGAACCGCAAAATATCCACACTTCATTTTTTGATTCAACCAAAGCATCTTGTCTCTCTTTTTCAACTATTGTTTTAATAGCCTGGCCTACAAGACCGGAGCCTCCAGTGACTAGTATTACCCTCTCTTCATTATTCATCTAAACAAGTAAATATAATTCAAAATCTGGTTAATTATTAATTTTTTTTTTTTTTTTTTTTATATATATATATATATTATAGGACCTTTCTTTGAGTGTCCTTTACATTTGACAAAATTTTTTTAGGTTCAAAAATACGAATAAGCGAAACACCTACTGTTAAGTAATAATAGATATACTTGAATGTATTAAATGGTAGTTATTATAATATACTTTTAGTTGTGTATGCTAGTACTTTTTATTATTTTGAGTACATGTGGCAAAGTAAATTTTATTTCTTATAATTTCTTATCACTCGGGATATTTCGTAGAAAACCTAAACAAGAATTGACAAATGACAATTCCGTTGACATTTTGTTGTTGTTGTTTTTATTATTCGCACGAGAGAGAAGGCAAAGGAACTAAGCCATACAGCCTTGTCTTTTTAAATTGACATTTAGCATTTGACAGAGAAATTGTTGTTATGACTTATGACGTATAACTCGTACGAATTAACTTGAGACCTGGGCCGATGACGTAATTGTCAATGTACGGTGTGCAAAATAATGCGTCGTAATATTTTTTTATTTGAAATTTTTGAGATTTGCATGAGATTATTAATAAAAACAAAATAAAATGTTCTGGCAAGGGGTGAAGTAATAAGTGATATACTGTTGCCATTTTTATATATTTCAAATATTTATTTTTTATAATATATATAATATTATTTTTAGTTAACGCGTCAAGGAAGGACAAAGAAATAAACATACACACTTTCTCATTTATAATATTATAAATTTATTTATTATACACTTTATTGCACTATAAAAAGTGTTACAGATTTGTACACAATATTGTCTTTCCTCCCATCTTTTTTTAAAAATAAAAAAGGCGGAGTAACTCCTAAGCGTCACAAGAAAACGGCACAACACAACGTCCAAACTTAACAATAAAACAACGCAATTAACAACAAACAGATAAAATAACGTTCAAGTATAACAAAAACAAACAAAAGTCCAAACCAAACAACAAAAAATTATCAAAAATATCGAACTAGAGTCGAGACGCGTATCCGTAACAAAAATGCTATCGGTACTGAGCGCGCACGGCCAGCGCGGGACGCGGTGCGGGGAGTCGGGAAGGGGGTCACATTCCAGCGGAGTCTCAAGTTAATTCGTACGTGTTGTAGACAGAGTATTAATGATTTGCAAATTAAGGTAGGCAAAGGTCTGGGACCATACATCCCATTCTAGATTGTATTTTGTTCACACAGTTTATACGACACATTACAAAGTCCTGAAGTTTTGACAATAGCAAACCAAGGGACAGTTAAATACATAGACTTTAAATATACTGGCGTATAGACCACTTTACAGCCCGAAAATGCGTATCCCATTTTTATTTGTCATTGTGTGCGTTAGCTAGTGATGTACATTATATTTACAAGAACTATCGAAAAATGATTGTTAAGAAAGCGTTAATAAGATTACCTAGTTAATTAACTATTAACGATAAGATTAACTAGTTTAGTGCACGAAACTTAACAACTACAAAAATACACTGAATTTTCATTACGATATTCAAAAATAATTCAAAAATCATATAACATGTTCCTGAAAATAAGCGTTTTGTTGGATTTTAGTGCAAAATGTACAAAATCACAATAATCTCTGAAGAAGCCAGTCTACCGAATAAACTTAAGCAATTTTTCCCAAGAATCAGATCGGAACATTATATTTTCGAAATATGAACCTGACCTTAAGAATTAAATATTTACTACTCGGAATTGGCTCGAATTTTTTTTTGACATAATTATAATCAAATTAAGTAACTATCTATTTAAGTTTTATAAAAAATTTTGCTGGTGAAATGAAAACTGGGGAACCGGAGTACATAATGGCTACTTTATTTTTGATACTTTAAGTATTACTTTTGATAAAAACAAATAATTCATAATTGATATTTTTATACATTACAGAAGTTTGTTTTAAGATTCGACTTAAATTTTAATGTAAACTTTATAATTTAAGTAAGGAGACATGTAGGAATCAGTTAAATAAGATTGTTCTGTTTAAAGGCCAATATGTTTATGAAGCTACGTTATCTTTAATCTGTTCTTGAAAAAAGTTATAATAAACTTATTATCGTTTGAGCTGCATGAGTTTAAAACATAATGATAGGATCATTATGTTTACAGATGCAGAGAGAAGAGATACAGAGACTAGCCAAATATGCAGAAGATATTAAAGTGCATTAAGTGTCTAAGGATACATATGCACTCTTTATTCTCTCATCGTATATATAATTAAAACATAAAAAAAAACATAAACACTCACGCCTGTCACCCAGAGGGGTAGACAGAGACTACAGACTTCCATTTAGCACGATTCTGACATACCTTTCTCGCCTCTTCCACATCCATATACCTACGCATACATGCTCGTCGGTTAAGGGTACTCTTAATTTGGCCCATTTTTAGTATATCGCCAATTTGGTCGACAAACTTCCGCCTAGGACGTCCCTTTCCGACTCTTCCATTCACTTCTGCAACATATATTTGCTTTGTCAGTCTTTCCGCATTCATTCTTTCTACATGACCAAACCACCGAAGCATTCCTTTCTTAATCCTGGTCACCGCATCATCTTGTAAACTACACTCTTCTTTTATCACACAGTTTCTCACCCTGTCACTCAGATTCAGCCCTAACATACTCCTTAGCGACCGCATTTCTATATATATATATATATATATATATATATATATATATATATATATATGTATATGTGTGTGTGTGTGTGTGTGTATGTGAGTGTTAAGAAAACGGTCTCGCATCCATGGACTGACCGCGACAAATGAAGATTTACTGATCCGCGCAACTATTACTTAACCACGAGCTCCTCTTGTCTACGACTAACACTGTAGGCACACACTATTAAGATTTCGGCACACTGTTGTCGGCCAACAAGCATAAATCGGGCATCAAGCGTGTAATTTTCAAATTCTATGGAGTTTATACTATCCTGGCTCACTGAAAAGTGCGTCTCATGCGCGACGTCTAGCGGCGCTTCAGGAACATTACTAAATATCTATACCTCACTACGCTAACTTTTATCATTGTGACTTGGGAATGTAATCCGAAGCTTCGCTCAACCTTGGGGAAAATAGCGTGATACTATGAATATTGTACTAGTGTGACCCGTGTGGTGCGGGTGTTTAAGTAAGGTTATACATTTTTTCGGTTGACAAATGGATACTTAGTTGGGTTCATAATGGCTTAATTATTTTTATAATGTATAAAAATATATCTCGGTTTTTATCAAAAGTTTTTGAAGTAAAATATTTGAAGTCTTATTAACTTATTATAACAATATACTTAGGTACTAGTACAAATAACGAATAAATTGCTCTTTTTAACCCTTCAATATGCACATGGTCTTGTCTATGAAGAACTTTGGTATTATAGGCTCCATGTGAAATTTTCTGTCCTCTAATGCAATTAAAAGTCTGTTAGTCTATGGTATTTATTGATAATCTACGTTCATTTCGTACGCCTGTTAGATGTGGCGTGTTATTGTGTTGATTTTTGGATTTTTCTAGTGTGTTATTAGTGTTTGTTATAGTGTTTTATTATAAAATTGTTAAAAAAGTTTTTGTGTGAATATAATTTATCTTTTTATGTAAAAAATTTCGAGTAATATTGAAATTATTGTGATATTCACGCTGCTGTCCTGCGCTGGGTATGTACATTTTATACTATGAAAATACAATTAAAATCTATTTGTAATGAAGTAAAAGCACTAAAACAAACATGCTCACACGCATACATGCTCGTCGGTTAAGGGTACTCTTAATTTGGCCCATTTTAGTATATCGCCAATTTGGTCGACAAACTTCCGCCTAGGACGTCCCTTAAATTTTTAAATTTCTGTGACCTGAAATTTTTTTATTTATTTATTTATTTGATTTTTAAACATTATAAACATTATAAAACATATAAAAGTAATCCTAAAACCAATGAAGTTTCCACAGATATCTAAAACATATTTAAAGCTACCACAATATGTTTAAAGATTGAAAAAATAACTACATGGTATTTATAATTAAACATTAAGTACTAAGCAGTTAAAAGTAATATAATACACACAACCTATAGTGAAGCTACCAATTATAAATTAAGTTTTACAATATTTTTTATAACTATTATATTTAAGGTGAAAAATATCTAGTTCACAATATTTTAAGTTAAAATTTTTACATGTACGAGATACAAAATTATTTGAAGCATACTTAGTTTTTACTTTACGCAATGCAAAAAGAGGCTTATTTCGTGCACCTAACCGGTGACACGCAGGATTCACTTTGCTAACAAGTAGGGAGAGTCGATGATATTATGTAGTAATTTGTACAACATTTGATCTCTAATATCACGGCGTTTTTCGAGTGTATAACTATGTAAGCTATCAATAATGGAGTCTACAGAAGAATTATTACGCTTTAAGTGATGCAGAAACTTATTGTTGATTGTTTCAATCATTTTAACATAAACTTTGTATTGAGGATTCCAACATGAAGAACAATATTCAAGAATAGATCGCACCAGAGTATTAAATAGTATAATTAATGTTGTAGAATTTTTAAGATCTTTTGAGATACGCATAAAAAAACCTAGCATTTTATAAGCTCGTTGAGTTATGATATTAATATGTGATCTCAGTAACAACTTACTATCCAACTGAACACCAAGATCACGCAGTTCATTTACTCTGTTTAGTAAATTAAAGAGGATTGCATTCTTTTTCCTAGTTAATGAGATAATATTACATTTCTTGATGTTCAAGTAAAGATGATTTGCTTGTCATTATGAGTTAAGCCTACACAGAACCTCTTGAAGTGGATTGCAGTCTTCTATAGATTTAATAGACCTGAAATTTTTATATCATCTGCAAAAAGGAGAATTTTGGAATTATGGAAGTAGGATCATTTATAAATATTATAAATAGTAGTGGACCAAGATGCGAACCCTGAGGAACACCTGAACAAACTGGGAGAAATGATGAACAGTGTCCTTTTATTGCAAGTGCCTGAATGCCTGAAATATACAATTCCTTGAATTTCTACATATCCTGGTGGTTGATATTAAAAAGTTAAATATATAACTAGTCTTGTGGGAAGTGTTATTGTCACATTTCGATTATCACTATGATTTTTATAAAATATTACGTACTCTATTATCTTATCGGTATAGTTCTCGATTATTCATGATATTATATTAAACGATTATAATAGAAAGAAATCATATATCATAATAAAAATACTTGCATATGGAATGTAGCTCCATCTATTTTGTAAAAAAGTATTAGACTTATTTTCGCACTCGTTAAGATAGATTGGCATTTTTCAAAGAGCACTTACAACGACGGAAAAGATTCTTGTAATGACAAAATCGATTCCGTAAACAGTTTTTATAAACGGATAAGATCTTTAAGCTATTGCATAGCTTCTATCGCGGGCCTTGAGCGCGGGGACCGAATCCAGAAATTCCGTAACGAAAAAAAATCTCACGCTCCCCACTCCGACGTGCACGGAGGTGTGGCTTGAAGGCCGTGCATTGTCTAACGTCGTTTCTTTTCGGCAGTCTTCGACACGGTGTTTGTGTGCGTGCAACTAGACGTATTGTACGACTCTACGATAAAATAATAAAAATATTTTAAACAATATTAACTTTTTATTTATCTAATAAAAGAAAAAAAAATTGTTTTCTTATTGGTCACCACGCTCAAAAAGTGTAACTTGAATTAATATCAAAGAAAACGAAATACTGCATAAATAAAATAAATAAAAAATAATTATAATTGTATAAGTTCATACAAAATACTATGCAATAGCTTTACCGCGGCAGTCCCCGAGTGCCACACGTCTTTTTATATCCAATACCTGCGCGGAGGTGAATAATCATGCGAGGCGAGTCCATTGACTTGAACGGTTTAAGATAATAATCGACATTTGACAACTTGAGGTCGCTACATCAAAAACATATTCAGGGCTAACGCATAGAGCAACACCGGACACCGGTGGACTGGAGAAGAGAAGCCATAGCGATTTACCCTGATACACCATTTGCCTGTTATTTATTTCTGGGGAAATATGTGTACACAAAAACAATCGTCTGTCACTACGAAACTGACACATAAAAAAACTAACGTTTTCACACACACATAGATACATTGTTTTTGTATTAAAGAATATTAACAAAGCTATAAACATTACTAATATTCCCCTTGACCACTCGTGGTATGCTTAAACTGCTTGTATTACGAGTGGTTCACGCCAGTATTCGAATGGCGGATTCAAACCCACGACCTTTTTGAGTTTGCGATCCGCGACCTGCTATTAGGCTACTGTCGCTTGACAATCGAATTGGGGATGTTATAATTATAATGGTAATTTCTTGAATAATAAATTATGGAAGATGAAATTATATTTCTTATTTAAATTTTATAAATAATGATTATTCAATAATAATTATTGGAATTTTAGTAATTATTGCAGCTATAACTAAAAGAGTTCAAATTCCTTTTAGTTCTTGATTACCTGCTGCTATAGCAGCTTATCACTATCGGTCACTCGGCGACAGCGACAACTCGGATGCAGACTCTGATCTGTCGCTCGACCGACTGTATAAAAGAGAGCCTGTGTAGATGAGCTTATCCGCAGCAACACGATCGTTATTATTGTAGTTGTTTCATTTTAACTCAATCAATCGCATATCAGGAAATAATTCAATAACCACTTATGAGATTTGAATCGGAAAGAATCCAGAGATTTTAATTTTTAGCCGACTTCACAAAAGGAGGTTTGGAATGCAATTATTTTTATTTTTGTATGTATGTTATGCGATATCTTCGCCAATTGAGACCAGATTTTGAAGATCCATTTTTTTAAATTAAATAGTGGTGCGTTTAATGTGTAACGGGGTAAATTTGGGGTTTAATGCTTCTCGTTTAGAGAGAGGAACACGTACCTCTTTGCCAGCAGAATTTAAAGCAGTTTTAAATAATGATTTCTTATATTTACGCGAACACTACACATAGATTAAAACTACTTTTACGGATTTTATCGCAATTAATTCAGATGATTTTTAATTCCCAACGTTCAGGGTGATTCCCAGTCTCAGAACCCGTGGTCACGGAGGACTGAGGTGATTGAAGTCCCGATATCAGTGTTCCCGGAGTACCTTCAGCTTTTTAATTATTACTTATGGTCCGATCTACGCAGTACGAACTTACTGTGTCTTGAAGTCTGGCATTGGTATGCTTGGGTTTCTTCTGTATTGCAATTAGGATATTTTTTAATTCCAATAGCCTCACGTATTATCCTTAGTAGGAATCAGTGTTCTTTCGCGCGGATTTATAATCTATTAAATCTGATGTGATGGTGGGTGCCGTCTAGGATATGATCACAAACTACAGACTTCCCGGTACGTTGGTGCTTCACGTCAGCTATATATTCTTTTACGGTGTTCGGCTGTTCTAATTCGGGTTCTAATTGATCTTCTTGTTTGCCTTATATATGAGAGCCCGCATTCACAATCAAGCTTGTACACTCCTGCACGTAGAGGGATATATGACACATGACGGATGGTAAGAACTGACTAATTTTCTTCAGTGGTTTGTAGAATGTTCTAATAGAAGCTCGCTTCAAGATATAGCCATTTTTATCTGTGACACCTCTGACATATGGTAGTACAGCAGGCATACGTTCGAGCAAGCCACTGGGCTTGCTTCACTTTTGTTGACGATTACCTGTATAAAAAAAATATTAGTAATGAAGACTTAGAGGTCATACGTCAAGCATGTAGTCCATGTTACGTGGAAGTTCAGCGCTGAAATTAAATCTTCCCAAAAATGAATTTAACACGTTGAAAAACTTACGCAACAAACCAGAGTTCTAGATTCTCCACGCAGAAAAAGCTAATGCTACGATTATAATGGATACGTCGGATTACAATTCTAAAATACATCAACGTCAAGATAAAAATATATACAGAAAGGTTAAAACAGACTCTAAAACTAATAGGCTTAAAAGAACCAGCGATCTCATTAAGAAATACTTCAAGAATCTGAATCTTGACGTAAATCGATAACACCTACGTGTGCCAAACCACAAAGATATAACTTCGGTGGTATGGCACGGTGGGTTACCAAAAATACACAAACCGAACGCTCCATTACGTCCAAAAGTGAGTCAGTTCGATTCGCCAACTTACAGATTGGCTCAACAGTTAGCTAAAATATTATCATCACTCAAGAGGACAAACAAGAGCACACACTAAGGATCCATACCATTTTGTCAGTGATAACTATGACGGTTATGGCTCAAAGGTTGCGTTTAATTCTTCTTGAGGTGAAAATGGGAATAAAGGAAATTAATAGCATAAGTATATATGGGAATATATATACTTTGGGTATGAACGTTTAAATTAAGCATATATGCACCATTTTAATATAAAGGTATACATCGTAGCGTCGTCAAAAAATAGGTTATACTTCAGTGGAGATTCCATATGAATTTTAAGAAAAAACTCTACCCCTTGGGATGAAGATTTTAATCTAACTATTTAGATGACATTGAAATTGTGATATTCCTTAGTCCACTCAAAAGGGTAAAAGAATTACTTTTGACAAAAATTAATAAATAAAATCCGACTTAAAAGCATTAAAAAGGATAAAATTATTTTACATTCTGAAGTTGGGGCTTTAATACGTCTATGCACTACAGCTTAGCATGTCATCTCATTATATCCTGCTAGTGATACTGCGTTCTCTTACCGTAGCTTCAACTGCAATTTCCTGGTTTCATAGTTCAATAACGATAATGCATGCATGGACGCCAGCAACAAATTCATGTCGAAGATAAATTCTTTTCGTCACGTGCACGACCAATACAATTTTTCATCAAAGTTCAATAATTTTACAATCACGACACCAGCACTAAAATCATAGTTGTGATAGCATATAAGTAAATATATACGATTAAGTCAATATAAAATTAGATGAATAACGATCCACCAATCAAAATTTCTTTGAATTGTCAAAGCAACTCCTCCCTGGAGAAACTTATCCGTACTGTAACTTGGAACTCCTTACCCCTGGTCTTTTAAAAGTCAACTACTATTTGTCTTTCTAACCCCTGTCTCTTCATACTTTTGTTTACTGACTGAGTTGCTGTCATTTTAGTGTTTAAATTGGTATGTGTATTGTAGTGCAGTTTACCTTTAAAGTTATTCCGATTCGAAAATAACCGTAGCTGGAGAATTTAGCAAGATTTACCGCTTTTTTTTAAATAATTCATCATTATTCATTCATAACTTTATGGTATTAGCACAGAATAAATAATAGTACTAAAATGCTCAGTATGGCAATCATTATAAATTTTGTTTGCTGCCAGATATTAAGCCGGTTCAGTGTCCCAGTGTCTTTTAAAAATAAACACAAATGTCTATGCCCTCATTCCTTGCCAATGATTGGTTAACAATTTTTCTATGAGCGTTCATTCTCGCTCTGAAAACGCCAAATACGCTTTCAAACCAAAATGGAGGATTTGTCGGTCGAGGTGTACGGTGAAAATGGTGCTTATTATAAGGTTTGTAAATCGTGAAGTACGTTCTAATTGGGTGTAAATTACATTATATAAATTTGTGAATTATGTAATCTGTTATGCAGGGTCGTTGTAATTGAGTTATATCATTTACTTACGAAAATATTTTTCCGGGAAGATCATCGCGGCTGGAATGGACGCCATGTCCGTCTGTCAGGGCGTGAATTTTCCATGTGTTTTATTCGTGCCGCTTCTGTATTTTTAGCCGTGATTGCGGAACTGAAATGGAGCAACGCACGACATATTTTTGCATTTGCACATTTTAACTCATATGACCCATAAATCTTATTTCTAGCATATTACCAAGTTATTTGATCGTCGCTATATTCTAATGATTTTCTATATTTTTAGGCCATTGTCACCGACGTACTCGACAACGAGGTTCTTGTAACCTTTGAAAATGAGTAAGTTGACGGATTGTTCAATAAGAATAAAATAGGATCACTGTTGGATATTTATTTACTTTTATTTTCCATTTTAGCTGGCAACCGGAATCAAAGTTTCCATTTTCTCAAGTGTTTTTACCACCTAAAGACACCGGCAAACATACAGAGTTCGTGGAAAACCAAGAAGTGGAGGTTTTCGCTAGATCGAACGAAAAGGAAGCATGTGGGTGGTGGACAGCAAATATCAAGGTAGGTATTGAATTACTTTATTCTCTTGTGACAAAATTTGCACCGACTTTCTAGAATTTCTTTGATTTTTTTATCATACCCTCATAAAATTATTATTTTTAAATGATCACTACTGACTTTTATAAATTATCATCCATTTATTATACTATTACTATAAAGGTGTGGTAAATAGATTTTATGTTGTAAGTTTGGTACTCATTATAAACAAAGAAAGATTACTGATCTCACAAAAAAAAAAACAAAGAAAATAAAAGATAAAATGTAAACTTATTGCTTTACAGTTTACTTTTATTTAAATATGGTTTATTTTCCTGATTATATGGTTATTTTATTAAATTACTGTAAACACAGCTCAACATTATATTATATTTTGGGATTGATATACAACTGTATAGACTGCCCTTTTTGTGCTATCCAGGTGCTATTTAGCTTAAATTTGCAGTTTAGGGTGGCCTTGCATTTATTTGTAACATGTCCTTCAGAATGTAACATTGTGAGCAAGTATTGCTTGTAAATCCAGTTTTATTCACATATTAGCCTAGATTGAAACACAGCTGAGTTTATTATATCGGTCTTGTAAACATTCAATTTTTGTCCTGTAGATGGAATGTAATATAGCTATTGTACTTATATTAACTCATTTATAGAGCAAATTGTGCTGTGGAAACTAGAATTTTTAAATATTGGAATAATTATACAAACTGATGTTGCTTTTAGTTAATATTTGTCTAAATTATTACGTGAAAAGTGACTTTGGTATAGTTATATTGAGGAAGGCATTTGTCAGCACAGTGAGATGGATTGTGATTATGATGAATCTATTTACATAAATCAATAAATAATTAATTATTAAACAAAAAAGATACAATAAACTAGAATCTTTATATAAATTTTCTGTCCGTGTGTATGTGACTAAACTCCTAAACAGCTGGACCGATTTTAATTAAATTTTGTGTTTGTGTTCAAGTTGATTTGATAATTGTCAATTAAACCCACCAGATGGTGATGTTTTAGAGAATATAGAAATTATGCGAGCAAAGCTGGAGCGGATTGCTAGTATGATATATACAATATTATTATAACTGCTTCATTTATAGTACATAGTGCATGAATGGGTCACCCTCACATTAATCAATTTTTAATGTACCATGACAATTTTAAACTAACTGAACTTTACCTCTGTGTCTTATCTACCAAAGCATTTTTTCCCTTAAGCGTTTTTATATATGATGGAAATGAGGGAAAGTTATAAAAGAAGATTTTCGATCATCATCCAAAAAATGTATTATTAGTTATTGTGTTCTATTTATGCCATGTAGTGGTGGAGTGAGAGAATTCACAACCCCATATCATCCCTTGGGTGTTGTAAGAGGAGACAGACGGAATCTGAAACAGGAAATAGGCAGCAGCTTTTTCCTGTTAAAAATAAAATAATAAAAAACAGTGGTTGCCAATTAGCTTTTTTTTTAATAGCATTGGGTGACAAACGCGAGTACACAGTCCACCTGATAGTAGGTGGATGCTGTGGGCCATAGACATCCACATATATCTTTATTTAAGAATCAAAATGCAAATGCGTTGTCACTCCTGAGGACTAAGATGGAATGCCTCGATTCCAGTAAAAAGGTTCTCTAGTACTCTACATTTACCATAGGAAACACAGTAGCATTATGCTGCTATTTTACACTGGTATTCTGTGAGAGCGTGGTCCTGCCCCAGTCGAGCCAACGCATTTGTGCTACAACTATTATATAGCTGGCTCTACCACATAAAGCTAAACTATGCCAAATACTTTCCTTATGAAGCAATTTTTGTGGGAGGCCTATGTCAGTTGTAGACTTGATAGGACTGTAAGGAATGAATGAATATATTTTATTTTATTCGACATTGTTATTTGTCGTATCGTTATAAATAAATGCTTCAAAATTTTTGTTCTCTACCATATTTCTTGAAAGTATTACTGAGGATATATTCTTATAAAATAACAATACTATTGAATAAAACGAAATTCACAGATTCTATATATAATACTAGCAATACTCAGTCCTCCAGACCAAGTTTTGGTCATGGCGGCCAGCCTCAACGGAGACTAGCCATCGGCGCAGGACAAGACTATAGTGCCAGGTGCATTCTCTATTCACTCACTCTATCAATATCCAATGGGAATAACCAGTAAGAGATCAGGCGCAGGAACAACGGCTTTACATGCTTTCTGAGGCACGGGAGTGAGACACCGCTAACTTCCTGATTATGGGCAGCTGCTGAGAGTTTCTTGATGAAAAAAGTCAATAATTGATTTTTTTTGGCCCAACCTGGGATTCGTACCCAGGACCTCATGATCAGCAGTCGCACTACTAAACCCACTAGACCAACGAGACTGTCAGCACTACCATTGACATTGCTAATATTCCAATTAACCACTCCAGGTAAGCTTGAGATACTTGTGTTAGGAGAGGTTGTTGACAGATGTTAAATAGTGGATTTGAATCCATGACTTAAATTCTCGAAATGCATCACTAACCATTAGTCTACTGTCATTTAAATATTTATAATGCTTTAAAATAATATAAAGCTAAATATTTAAAGATGTAAGTGGGATATAGAATTTTGCTGCATTCTGTCTACTGTCATTTAAATATTTATAATGCTTTAAAATAATATAAAGCTAAATATTTAAAGATGTAAGTGGGATATAGAATTTTGCTGCATTCTGTGTTTCTGACAATATTGAGACTTGTCTGTATTCGGACACCCACTAAAAGCAATCATAAATACAACAGGGTTTAGTCTTATTATATTCAATACATAAGCATGATGATCACTGACCTCTATATATACAAGTATGCTGGACTGGCTATACAAAATGTCTGTTCCGATTTGAATCATCACCATTTTCTGTACTGAGAGCTAAAATTGATATAGAACACCAAAGTCTGTTGTCTTATTTAAATCTTATCTGTATTTTGAACTTTTTTTTTTGTTTGGTTGTTTGGTTTGATTGTGTAATATTTTAGTATTTTTAATAATAATCAGTGTGCATAATATGTTAAACTCGTTACCTAAAAGAAAGTGGTATAACATTCCACAAGTAAGTGAATTTATAGTTAATATTAAACAAATTAAAGCTGTTTGATTAATATAGGTACTTAAAAATTTGTAACTAATCTTAATATCATAATTACCAACATGTTTGGCTTTGTATTACTTAGTTTTGATAAACAATAAAATTCAATAGGGCTATCGAGTTCCTTGTCTATAATACTTATCGATGTTCTTTCCTACCCATATCTGTTAACTACCAAACTCGCCAACAACAGATAATTATCCAAATTTTATTAATAAACAGATTCCCAACTGAACTAGACTAAAATTAAGGCTTAAAAAAGCATAAATATTGTGAATTGGCATCCAAAACAAAATGATCATCTTCCTAAACATTTTACCAAAGACTATTTTATTATGCATGAGAAATGCACCACTTAGTAAAAATGCAGTATACCGACAATATTTTCTGGGTTATTATTTCGAATATTTTTTTGTTTATTTTATCTTCTCTTCTCATTTACCCCCAAACTCAAGAGCCAAAGCCAAGTGTAGAAAGGTCACCTATGACTTGGTTTACAAGACGTAAATTTGTTAAAAATGTTTAAATATGACCAATTTATTATATCCAGGGAATTAAATTAAAAGGATAATGGAATTACATTAATGTCCTTATCAAGGAGTTTAGGTGGGAAATAGCTCCTCCCTGAACGGGTTGCATGCTATGGGGAGCTATAGAGGGGGCTATGGTCGGGGTTTCTCTGCGTGATAAACTTAAGAATGAGGATATCCGAAGTAGAACCAGAGTGACCGACATCACCCAATGGATTAGTAAGCTAGTTAAGTGGCTATGGGCTGGCCATATGGCCCGAAGAACCGATAACCATTGGGGATGAAAGGTTCTCGAGTGGCAGCCTCGTACCGGCAGGTGAAGTATAGGAAGTCTCCTCACTAGATGGAGTAACAACCTGGTAAGACATGCAGGAAGTTGATGGATTCAGGTGGCTCAGGACCGGGTTTTTTGGCATTCCTTGGAGGAGGCCTATGTTGAACAGTAGACTTGTGAAGTTTGGCTGTAATGATGAATAATGATGGCATTATATTATTATGATACATAAATAGAATGGATGTTAGGAGTAGAGGCCTACCCATAACATTTAGTCTATTTATTTAGGTATAGGTAGGGTGTAGAATTTTTATCAATTATATTTTGTCACACTGTCTTATCTCTATTATTAGTTCCGTACAAGATCACTTCTGCTGTCAGCGTCATAATGGCGCAAATCAAATCACCGCATTATGTCACGGTGTATAGCCAGTCCATACATAGAGGTCAGTGATGTTGATGGTGAGCAGTGAAGTCTGTGGTATCTCACCAAAAACAAAAGTGTAAGGGGTCTTAGGTACAAGCTGTTCAAATGGTTAACTTTGTGCAGGCCTTGTTGATATTTAAGAATTTTGATCTAAATGGACTCTAAGTACCATAGCAGTTCTAATTGTAGTTACGAGTATTTACAATATTCTTCTATTGATTTATAAGAAAGTTTGTTCCATTTCTCCATATATCAAATGTATAACTTGCAAGTTTTGATTGTCAAGAGATTATATGAAATTTATTTTATGTATTTTATCAGGTTTAATTTTAAATTCCTGATGTTTCGGGTGCATTATTTACAGTACATATTATGGTCACACGGGAACTAAGGTATTTGATGTCCTGCTGTCATGCAAAATATTTTTGAGTTAAGGGGGATGGAATATAACCTGAAATGGTTCTTGTGGATAGGCACACTTCTGGTGTGTTGCTCTTTTTTTACCGAGTTAAAAAGGAGGAGGTATTCAATTCAACTGTGTTTTTTTTATTTGAGTTACCTCATAACTTTTCTCTGGGTGAACCAATTTTGATAATTCTTTTTTTATCTGAAAGTTGGTGCTTCTCCTGTGGTCCTATATAAATT